GGCACAGATTTCTAGAAAAGTTAAGTCCCACACCCATGTAATAACTTTTCTAAAGATCTGTGCCAAATTTAATGGTGATCCTTTGGGGGTCCTACACACAAGGGTGTGGGAGGGTCTCAGAAGATCATTACTCTTTATATATATATATATATATATATATATATAATAAAACCTAGAAATCTATTTCCGCTCCTAATTTGAAATTTAAAGCTCCAAAAATGGTGCAACTAGAGCAGATCTATAAGCACATGAAAATATTGAAAAGGCACAGTCTAGATAATGTTCACAAGATGCACTATTTTCAGGACTCCTTATTGATTCAAGGATTTTCAAGTGTCGCAACAACCTTTTCCTGTTGGTTTTGAACAACACCTACTTCTATAATATAAGCTAACACCTTATATAAACTTTTTGCGTATACATATGATTATGACCACATACTGAACAAACTTCAGTAGTATTTCAAATGTTTTCCAATATCTAGAAAATATCTAATAGTAACTATTCCTTTTAATTTGTGTGCTTGTTTATAGAATATTTTCCTGATATTCACATCATGTTCTCTTACAAAGGAAACCCAATAAAATTTATATTATGATATAAAATATCTTTTTCCTTTCTATAAGTTTCAATTTATTTTTTGCATCCAAATTTTCCTTATGGTACCTGGAGAAATATTGGTAGCAATGGTTGAAGAGCTTTGGGAAGACAAAGCCCAGGTATAAGAACAGGTCCACCCTGCACAAGAGGAAGTTATTTAGCTTTTCAAAAGTTTTATATCTCATAGACTTAAGAGTTTCAATACACACACACACACACATATATATAAATATACACCAAACACTTGGCAGCCATATAGGTAGAACCCAACCGCTATATCTTCATCGGGTTGATCAAAATATATATTACTATCTAAATTTTAATTTGTTTTTCTATATATCATATTGACATGAAATTTGAGGTGTATATACTTGACACTACTGCGCACCATATTAAAAAAAAATACTTTCAAGAATTTAAAATGACCAAATTACCCCCATCATTTTCAAGGATATTTTGGTCATTTTATATTATGGAAAATATTTGTTTTATATTTTTCTTGCACACATGATTTTTTAGTATACATGCGCAAAATTTCATCAAAATCTGATTTCTAGGAAAAAAGCTTAAAATTTAGATAGAGATGTGCATTTTCAAAGTGCCCGATGAAGATCTGACAGCTGGGATTCCATCTATATTTCTATTCATTATAGCTGCCAAGTATTTGCTCGTGTGTGTGTATATATATATACACATATATATATATATATATAAGGCAGTGATTTCATGCAATGGTTGTATCATAGTATAATGCAACAATGTTCAAAAATCATGTTAGGGCCATTTGTTTGAATCAAAACTTGAAATATACAGTCTTTTCATTCTAATGAACAATCACAAAAAAGAAAATTTTGAAAACGGAACCTAGAAAGTATTTTTTTAGCCCAATTAACATAGGCCGTCTATTTTGATAAAATGCTTAGATCCAGGCCTTAGAATAATTTTTTCTTTTCCAATGTTTTTAGATGATTTTATTATCATTAGAAGAAAAATGTTATAAAAGAAAAAATAGAGGTTAAGAACTTGAAATTCACCAAATGAATGGTCTACATTCGCTGTTGGAGGGACTCATTTTGACCATATCTAGGGTTCAAATTGAACGTTTTTTAGGGGATTGATTATTAAGATGAAGAGAGTATATGTGCAAAATTTTGGATCATACAAATACCACAAACATGGTTTTCTAGAAGTGTGGTTGCATTATAATATGATATAATCATTGCATGATATCACTGCTTAGATATATATATATATATATATATATATATATATATATATA